CCACTAAGACTTTTTGTGTTGCCTTTAGACAGACGACTTCCCTTAACATAGGATAGTACGTAGAAATGCCAGATAGTGATAGAAATCTGTCAGCTAATGTGCTAACAACTTGACATTTGTATTGACATATTCAAATTTTGTCATTGGTTCCGACAAATATTTGTCGGAAGCTGTCGGAACCGGAGACCTAACGCTAGATTATATGATTGGCGGAAATGTTCAAATAAAGGGCTGTGATTGATGTAAAAAGTGTTTCTTGGCAATCTCATCAAACTATCGGTCGGAAAGACGTGTATATTCATACATATCTGCTGCAGTGATTTTTCTATTTCTGGAAGGCGTCCAGTACCTAATAAAAGGCAAACCGCTGGCAAGTCATACTAAAAACGGAAACGTGAAAATGTATGTATAGCTAGCTTTTCTAATGCTTGAATGCGCATCAAGCAGCAAAACTCATCGCAGTCTCAATGGGGCGTTTGTTCAGCTCCTGGTCGAGCAGCACGTTCTCTATGAGCTCTTGGCTGGTCGTGGTATTGGCGGCTACAACATTCAGCACAAACTCGGTGAAATCCCCTGCTGCAGTCATGTCGATTCGACAGCCTGCAGCCATTTGCGGCGACACAAGACTGCACATTTGCAGAATAGTAAAGTAACCGTGACCCTGGGCAATCGACGTGGGGCGCCTCGTCACCACGTAGCCTTTGTCTACGAAGCCAAAGCTGGAAAACTGCGAGTTGTTCGGGTCCAGAGCGTGTCCAATTGACACCCATACGACCACCTGTCTATCAGTCTCCACGAAGCGTCTGATTACCTGTTTCACGCTAAAGTCCGCAGTAGTCGTCTTGCCAATGAACTCCATTGTGAAGGCCTCCATAATAGTATCGGAGAAAGTCTCGAGTTGCTTAAAACAACAGAAGCAATTACTGTTAGCTTCTTCAAACGAAGTCATTGGGTTCCTTCGTACCTTTGTCGCGTTCTCATAGACCACGCCGCGGTGTTTCTCGCTCCCTTTGAAATGGTTCCACACGGCTGTAGTCACCGCCTCGTACGTAAAGGGTAACACTTTGTTGGCAAACACGTCAAGATACATCCCGCTGGCACCTTCTCGCATCCGCGCATCTCTACAAGGAGTGTCCAGATTCAATAACCCGTTAGTGGCGAACACGGCCTCTAATTCGGCGAAAGCAGTCTCCACACTGGTGAGCAGTGCCTCGTAAGTGTCCTTGTCCACTAAAAAGTCTAAAGTGCACCCCTGGGACGACAGGTCACCAGACACCCCAACCACCTCAGCACAACCAGACACTTGCTGTCGAGCTCGCTTCTGCAGCAATATCTCCATGCTTTTTGCCAGTTTCACCTGGCTCTCGAGTACGAGCTTAAGCCTTGCGTTCTCGCGCTCGGATTTCTCTCGTCGATGTTGCTGACGAGTGGCAATGTCTCTCCAGATGAAGGGCATTCTGGACGATGAAGAAGCAGGTTTTGAACAGGTAGATGTCAAGGCTTGCGATCGAGCTACGGGCGGCGGTTCAGCGCTGCGAATTCCTAGAGTTCGTCGTCGATGGCGCATCGTGTTTAGCTCTCTCTCCATCTGCTCCACTTTGTTTCTCAAGTACGCTAGTTCATGCTTGCGTTCGTCTCGCGCTCGATTTGGATTTACCTTCACACGGCGCTTGCTTTTCGCCAGAGCCGTCGTTGAGCCTTTGGCTGCTCGAGAACTGCGCCGACTCGGTCCTGATACGTCGGAAGCTCCAACATTCGTCACCATCGGTGGCAGAGGAGACGACAATGCTGACGCTGTGGCAGTAGTGGTTGAGGCACTCGAAATCGCTACTGCTGCCATTGGAGTCGAGTCGCTGTCATGCTCCGACGATGATGACAGCGTTCCCAGAAGCAATCGGTCCAGCTCTGCGTCTAGCCAATCATCTCCTTCGTCACCAGAACCGAAGCTTTCCGGAGACGCAGTAGTCAATGAGGTCGCAGGTACTTCAAGCGCCGAGATAGACTGGAGGGCGTCCACGTAGGACAGTGCGGCCTCTAGGGCCTCCACTTCGTCGTCTCCGAACAGCAGCGGCATAGCAGTTCTCGATTTATGTACCGGTATGTTCAAACAGAAAATACAATAATTACAGTTTTGATTCCTTAAAACAATTATTGG